AAATGCCCAACAAATGCCAAGGGGGATAGGCATGCTTGCAATTGACTGCAACTGGTCACTTAATTATGAAAGCTATGTTTTTCTTTAACAGCCTCACAGCCTCTACATGTACTTAAGGCAGGGCAAGTAGTTTGGGAATAAGGTGCCATAAAGGTCAAGGGGCAAATAAATGTAAATCTGAAGAAGTAACCCACAAAATAAATATTACATGACTATGGTTTTACCTATCAAACTGTTTACTTTCAAACTCAACATGAGCATTGTTGGCAAGTTCTCGCTCAGCATCAGTGACGCCCACTCTAGGAATGTTCTCTACCTGCTGCAGGCCATTGGTACTGTCCACTGGATTCTCTGCCATCTTGCTTGAAATTACCTAAAAAAGCAACTATTTAGTTAAGTAATACTGAACAGGCTAGTTGAAAAAAAGATGATAGCAGTAGCAATAACATTTTCAAGTACTTTCAAGTCAAGTCTAGGTAACTTTATTTAGGCAGGGTAGCCCCATCAGCCACTGGATCGTATCAAAAGGGGCCCTGCATAAATTATGACCACATAAAAATTATGTAAAAAATTATAAAAAGGAATAAAAGGGAGATTACAATATCATCATAAGAATGACAATTTGTTTAAGATTAAGACAAACAAAAACGCTCTTACAGCGGTGTTCAATCTCGCTTGCTTGGAGATTAAATCCAGAAATGAGGAGGCAATTAATACTACATGAAACAGGATTTACTTGCTAAAGGTCTTTTACGTCCTTCTTTATCATTGTCAATACTGTTTATTTGTTTCTGAACTGATTTAGTAGGCATGTTAGCAACGAACGGAAATATGTCTGCGGTCCCAGGCTATAAGCATGTATATAAATACATGAAAATTCAAGGGCCTTGAGTCCAGAGAAATTACATCATTGAAAGAGATCAAAGAAGTGATTTACATGGCACGTCATTTCAATCATCGCTGAAAATAAACCACATGCTCATCACAAGACCCACTGCATACAACAAAAGTTTACAACACCCCACCATTACAGTTTTGCTGATTAAGATTCTTATTTTTTTTTTACCACTCAGTAGTGTTCACTTGTTCCAAAGTAATCAATGCTTTGAAGCAATAGAATTCATGGACCAACACATTTCAGAAAAGCTCTAAATATAATATCTTTTTTAAGCTTTCTTCACAAAACATGCGTGGCTTACATCATGCAACAATTCTTATTCCCAGTTTCCACAGTCTCCGCTAGGAATGCCTGGCACAATGACACCCCTTTCGTGTGCCAAATACGAAGAAAAACGCGTTGCAGATTATGAGTCTCGCTGCTTACGCAAGCAAGACTAATAAGGGAGCTGTTGCGGTTCAAATTTAATCTTTGGTTTGAATTTTTTTTAACCAGTTTACATTTTTCAAACTAGTTAGAAATTTTTAACACTTAACTCGTTCTCATTTATTTGTACCTCTCCTTGTAAAATACAGTGTAAAATAAACTCACATTTTAGTAACTGCTAAGGCATTTAGGTGGGGTCATATTTTGCTTCATTTTGTCTTTTTGCCTAAATTAAGCGAATAACTAGGACCCTGACGATGGTAACGTTGAGCGGTAACGTTGAGCGAGTTGCGAGTGGTAACTCTCTCTAATATCATGACAAACAGTGAACAAAAATTGAGAAAAGCAAACAAAGAACTCAAGGACAAAGTAGCAGAGCTTAAAGTGAAGCTAGAAAAGGTTTTGAAAGAGTTAAGTGAATAAACTGAAGAATGCAAACTAAATGTCGTTAATGGCGTCAAAGTGTTGTCACCAGACAAAACCAAATCAGTAGAGTTTGTTTCGGACCAGTACGATGATTTAATTGCTTTCAAAGTAAGTGCCAATGAAGAGCTTGAAGAAATTAGGGCAAGACTCGATAAGATATCTGAGACCTGTGACCGCATCCAGAAATCGCTAGATGCTTTTGAACTGTACAGCTACCAATTTAACATCAAGATAGTCGGAATGCCGATGGTTGCTGAACGTGAACACCCTGAGCAAACTGCAAGTCTATGCCTATACAGACCTATACAGTTATTTTCAGCCGTGGGAGTAAAGGGAGTGTCGATCCAGGATATTGATACGGCCCACCGAGTGCCGTCTATGAAGCCGTCAAATCGACCCAAAGCAATCATTTGTAAGTTTGTACGAAGGCTAGCTAAAGACCAAGTAATGGCGGCCAGGAAGAAAGTTGGTGGCCTCAAGGCCAAAGAACTTGGATTTGCAGCTGATATCAATGTCAAGTATCTTAATATCTATGATCACTTAATGCCACGGTTACAAGTCTTACATCATGAAGCAAAGAAAGTCAAAGAGGCTAAATAATAAGTACAAATTTTGTTGGGAGAAAAATGGCCTTGTGTATCTTCGCAAGGCTGAAGAATCCACAATTTACGAATTCACTGACCTTTCTGAGCTTAACAAGAAATTTAGCACGGCCTCAGAAGCTGGAGTGAACGATCACCTACAGAGCTAAGTACTCAAGTACTTTTTATATTCTATCATTGCGAACTAATCAAGTTTGGCTATTGACATGCCTACAAAGACCAGTGCTAAGCAACAATTAACAGAAGTTAAATAAATCTCTGTTAAAAGATTTACCCTACTTTAATTTCAGAGGTAACTTAGTCCTTGCCCATGGCCAATTTAATAATTCACTTAATAGTGAGCTCCCGACTAAACAAGATCTAGATAAACTACATAGTTTATATGATGTGGATTTGTTTAATTTGAATATGATGTTTGATACCAACCAAACTGATAACGATGCTTTAATGAGCCAATATATTAGAAGCCGATATTTTTCTCCACACAGTCTTAAGCAGTTTACTAATAATCTTACGCAGGATCAAATTGAATCTAGTCTCTCCATTTTTCACAATAATATTAGAAGCCTTAATCGTAACCTCGAAAATCTAGTGACTCATTATTTACAAGAATGAGGTATTCACTTCAATATAATAGGTGTCACAGAAACTAAAATCACCAATTCTAATGAGAATACAGGCCTTTCAAACATACCCGGTTACGTTTTTGAACACGTTCCAACACCTCTAGCATGTGGTGGTGTAGGCCTCTTTGTCAATGAAACACTTAATTAGTTGTTCAGTTTTGGAAAAAACTTCCCCCGAATCTTTTCAGGCATTGTGGATAGAAATTTCCTTTTGTTAAGAAGAAAAACGTAATCTGTGGAGTCTTATACCATCAACATAATTCTCCAGAGAGCTTTCTTAATACTTGGAAGAGACTATCGACAAATTTACTTCGACAGGGAAGAACGTATGTCTCCTAAGTGATTTTAATTTATGTCTACAAAAAATCGAAAACTGTAATTACAGTCGCGACTTCTTACTGGCTCTTCAAAGTTGTTTTCTCCTTCCAACTATTGACAAACCAACACGTGTTCACAAAAATTCTGCAAGCTTAATCGATAACATTTTTGTGCACAATCCTGAGCAGCTGGTGCTAATCAGCGGTAATCTTATTACTGATGTCAGTGATCATTTTTTGCAGTTTTGTATTTTGACATCAAGAGATAAAATTAAACGGAAGCAAATTAAAAAACGCGATGTTTCGCATTTCGATCCCTATAGTCTTAACAGCGACCTTGCTACGATCAACTGGAGTTGCATCATTAAAACACACGCAAATAATGTAGACGAGCTATTTTCAACTTTCTATAGAAATTTTAATAAAATTGTAAATAAACATGCACCGATTAAAACCCTTTCTCGACGTAGGATTAAACAATTTTCTAAGCCTTGGATTAAAAAAGGTATAAGAACGTCAATCAAGGAAAAAAACAGACTGTACGAAATTGCCGATCAGGAAAAGTATAAATATTATCGAAATAAAATTTGCAGTCTTATACATTTGAGTAAGAAACACTATTACTGTGCCTTTTTTAATAACAATTTTATAAGTAATAAGAAAAAAACATGGCAAGGCATAAATGAATTATTAAATCGCTGCAAAAGAAAGTGTAAATCTGTTAGTAAATTAAAAGACCCAGATAACAACAATAACCTTACTAATGATTCCTCGCGTATACCTAATATCTTAAATAAACATTTTTCAAATGTTGGCAACATCTTAGCAAGCAAACTACCACTACCACCAGCAGCGGGTCCCTTCATAGACTACTTAAGAAACTCCAGTTCGCCAGAACTTTCGTTTTTCTTCAGACCTGTAACTCCATCTGAAATTCAATTTCAAATTTTATTTATACCAAACAGCAAATCGCATGGCTTATACTCCTGTCCTACTCAACTTCTTAAATACTCGAGCGAAGTTTATCTCCAGTTCTTTCAGATATTCTCAATACACCTGTCTCTCTTGGGGCTTACCCCCAAAAACTTAAAATATCAAAAATTATACCTATCTTCAAAGCTGATGACGAGACCTACACTTCTAATTATAGGCCAATTTCATTATTATCAAATTTCAATAGAATCTTCGAAAAAATTATGTACGACAGAATGAGAGACTTTATTGAAAAGCACAGCCTATTATATTCGTCTCAATATGGTTTTCGTCAAGCTCACTCAACCCAATGTGCTATTCTTGATATGGGAGCAGGCCCGTAACCAGGATTTTATGTGGGGGGGTGCTAACGAGGCCAAAGTGGACCAAACTACCGAAATGTATTTTTTATTGTCTGATCCGTTTATTTAGGGAAGTAGCAATACATGAGAAATTGTAACGGCAAAGTACATGGTAGGAACTGAATATTACATTTGTCGAATACAACTGTTTGAATTAAGTTATAGAGGAGTAATAACGATGTAAAATGATACATCAAAATACTGCGGAACTAATCCCTCAGAATAGTCCCGAGCTCCAGCCTCCGTGGGTGTTTGGTGGCAAACAGATTTACCATGCCTCATCCAAAACAATTTTAGCTTGATAATGTACGTGCATTAGTGCGAGGGACGACAGCCTTTCCTGGCCCATGCATGCCCTGTTATATGTATGCAGCCGCCTTAAAGAACTCGCACTTCTTTCACATTCTTAGCTCATTGCAGGGATTGTGGCGCATATCTTGAGGAGCGCATATATATTTGGAACGAGATCATCATCGCACTCCTTAAGCGTGCGCACGTTAATTTCATTATTCATTTACATAAGCTGGGACATCTGTACGCTCATTGAAATGTTCTGAATGACTCGGGCTACTAGAGTGCAGCTGGTTTTATTTTCCCAGTGAATACACTACTACTTTTTCCATTCTTTGATTTTGTTTAAATATCACTGTTAAGTTTGAAACTTCAGTTTAACCGACTGCACTCCTTAACTTGCATATTGAGAATCAAAATGCGGACCTTTGGGGCCTG